TGCCACCTGCGCTCCCGCCCGCCGCCCCCGGCCCGGCTCGGACCGGGCGGGTGCCCGGGCGCCCCCGGCAAAGGCAGCTTGAAAGATGCCCCGTGGAGCTTGTGAATCTGCGTGTTGCAACTGTCAAGTTCGCGGTAGACAAAGGCGCCCAAGCCGCGTTACCTCTGTTTGGTTCTGGTTCCTGAAGAGTGAGGCGATGCCAGCACGTGGCAGCAGCGGCAGCATCCCCCATGGCGGGTGCAGCACAGGCACCGGAGGGTGCTCCGATGGGGTGATGTGCACCCCACTGTCTAGGTCAACACAACCGTGATGCCATCCTATTCGTGTGCATTCCCACCTCGGAGCGTGCCGAGCTCCTCTGCCATTGGCCACGTTCATCGACAGCAGCAGCGTTGGCCTGTTGGACGGAGCTGATGTTCCAGCCTTTGCCTGGAGTGCTGCAGCATTCCCGCTCTTTCGGGGTGTTTTGATACCCCGTTTGGCATCTCCTGTGGCTCAGAGGTGCTCAAACTCCTGTTCAAGTCAATGAAAAGTCAGTGGCAACCGAGTGCCTTATTTACTCTATTTTGGTGTGGAAATTATGCAACTATTATTTACTACTCACTTATAGTTAGGCTGTTATCAAGCTAGCAGAGTGTGATTTTTTTGTGTGTATAAATAGCCCTTGCAAACCATAACAGAGATATGGGAGTGAAAGATAAACCCGCAGCGTGAGTCAGTCCTCAGTGCAGTATGTGGGGAGGGAAGAGGTTACAGGGCCCTCAGTGGCAATGGCCCCATCAAAGGCGGCGTGCAGAATGGGGACGGTTCCCTCTGTGTGTGGGCAGCGTTTCCTCTGGCTGGGGCCAGTGCAGGAGCCCGAAAGTGACCACGAGCTGGTCCCAGCGCTGACCTGCTGTTGAGCGAGGAGGCTCTTCCCAGGCATTTAGGATGGGGGTCGTGTCTTAGGTTTGGAGGAAGGGGGAAGCTTCCCTATCCACAGCCCCGGCACCAAGCGTGGCCCTCCTCCCCGAAGCCCTGGCCTCCTCTGATCTGGCCTGGGTCCTTGCTTGGCCCTGGGTTTCTCTTGCTGCTCCTTCTCCACACAGGTCATGGAGCTGCCTGCATTTTCCACTGCATCCTCCTCAGCGAGGCCACCTTTCCTTGGAGCTGGCCATTGCGGGGGGTCTGGCAAGTGGGAGGCCTCCAGCTTTCCTCAGAGCCTTTCTGGATCCTGACTTAACCTTCTCCAGGCTCCTCAGGAATGGCACAAGGCAGGATTCTCCCCCAAGTCTGCATGCAGAGGCGCTACATGAGGCCGCAGAGGACCAAGGGGGAGCCCGAGATCTGGTGAAAGCAACCCGCAAGTGTCACCAGCAGCAGGAGAGCAGGGACCGGCCTTTTGTGGGTACAGACACTGTGGCGGGAGGCCTGGGTGGTCCTCCCCCCTCACCGCCTCCAGCTCGGACACCCCTGACCGAGTGGCTAGCGG